GCATCGCTTCATTCTGTGTTTTCTTTATAGTTTCTATTTCAGCTTTCAATCCTTCAACTGTTTGAGCTGTTTCCTTAATTTTTTGGTTGTTTTTTCTTGGTGCTCTTTAGATTCTTTGAGAGATTTGTTTATTTCTTGAATTTTTCCCCCATTTCATGGATTTTTTGTTTGTTTTTTCTTCTATTTCTTTAAGGGATTTCCTCGTTTCTTCTTTGAGAGTCACCATCATCTTCATGAAGTAATTTTTAAGGTCTGTCTCCTCTTCTTCGTCTATGTAGTGCTTTTCGGGTCTTGCTGGTGTTGGATCCTTGGATTCTGGTGGGGTCATGTTGGTATTTCTATTGCTGAGTGATCTCTTATTCTGTCTTCTTCCCATCTCTTCTTCCAGTGGGTGCTGGTGGGGTCTTTCCTTCTCCACTGGTCTCCTTCCTTCCTGCAGCTTAAGCTGGACTCGCTGGGGTTGGGGTCTTGGAGGGGCTGATGTCTTTCCTGAAGCTGGACTAGATGGGGTTGGGGTCTTGGAAGGGCTGCTGTCTTTCCTGAAGCTGGACTCGCTGGGCTTGGGTCTTGGAGGGGATGATGTCCTTCCTGTGTGGGCGGGTCTTCTGGGTGCTGGGAGCAGCCCTGAAGCTCGAGGTGGATGGGTGATGGGTGGGCGGTCCCTGCCAGGAGACCCAATCTCACCTGCAGCTGGACTCCCTGGGGTTGGGGTCTTGGGGGGGCTGATGTCCTTCCTGTGTGGGCGGGTCTTCTGGATGCCAGGAGCGGCACCCTAAGATCGAGGGTGATGGGTGATGGGCGGGCGGTCCCCGCCAGAGACCCAATCTCACCTGAAGCTGGACTCGCTGGGGTTGGGGTCTTGGGGGGGCTGATGTCCTTCCTGTGTGGGCTGGTCTTCTGGGTGCTGGGAGCGGCCCCGAAGCTCGAGGGGATGGGTGATGGGCGGGCGGTCCCCGACGGAGACCCAATCTCACCTCGGGTCACAAGCATTTATATGAATGCCTCATGCTGGAATTAAACTGACAGTTAATACCAGAGAGGTATTAATGCTTTATTTTCATACTCATCTGCCTAAACAAATGTCATTATAGGCTCCCATCAACACTCCAAACTTGTCAAACTTTAGTCAGATTATTCATAATTTTGACCTGATTAAGGTCAACTTCTTGTAATTCTTTTTAATATCATCAACAGACACAACATTGTGCTTTCTCACCAAGAACTCTGAAGGAAATGTTAATACAATTGGTATAGTTTAGTAAGTGGTTGGTACTTTGAAAGAATGAAACTCAACTTCATATGGTAAAACAAAACATGCAGGATAGGAACCACAATCTGGTATAATAAAGGAGCTTACAGAGGTATCACTATCCCTGATTTCAAGCTCTACTATAAAGCTTCACTAATACAATCAGCAGGATAATGACATAACAGCAGACGTATGGATCAATGGAATTGGTTGAAGATACTGATACTAATTAACACATCTAGAAACATGTGATTTTTGACAGAGAAGCCAAAATTGTAAAATGGAAAAGAAAGTATCTTCAACAAATGGTGGTTGCATAACTGGATGTCAATATGTAGAAAAGTGTAAATACATCCATATATATCCCCATGTATGAAATACTAGTCAAAAGGGTACCAGGACCTATCCCAGGTGTATTACCTGGCTTTATGTACCTCATTATCTATGGTGGGATATTTTGCTTCACCTTAATACGGGGCAGGGTCTGAGTACTATTTAAGTTTGTATGCCTGATGTGTTGACTCCCTATTGAAGGTCTTATCCCCTCTGTGGAATGGATAGAGATGAGAAGGAGGGAGATGGAGTACTGGAGGGAGGAGGAAGGGAAAATGATCTTGGTATGTAAAACAAAAATAATATTTTAGAAAGAGTAAAAGACAATATTTACCATTATATTATACTAATGCACAAAACTTGTAATATAATCTATATTTGTCTTCCTTTTTTCATCTCTCTGTTTCTGTCTTTGTCTCTATCTGTTTCTTTTTGTCTCAGTCTCTCTCTATTTCTCCATTCATTTGTCTTACATGTACCAATGTATATTGGTAATAAGTATTTCTTTCACACTACAATGTTGTTTGAATTCAGAAACTATAAACATATTACATAAATTCATAACTTTCTCGCATATATCTGCAGTTCAAGCATTTAATTAATGCAATGGAATTTTGCAAATACATCAGTTAATAGTTCCAAAGAGATAGAAGGATATCCTTCAAGATAGATTTTTTTGGCATTTTCTTTTTCTATTTTGCTCTTATTTATGAACATTTAGAGTATTTGAATTGTATAAAAACAGATGCACTATTTCTTTCTTTGTTTTAGAGAGATTTCAGAAAACCATAACACAGAGAAAATAGTAATAGGTATGCTGAGCAAGGAAATGAGAACTTACAATATATATTCACTACTTATCTCACACTGGAGAGGCTGAAAATACAGTTGTTCGGCTCAGGAGGCTGGATATTTAAACAGTCATGAAAGCATTTTGCCTTCCTATTAAAATACTTTCCCCATTTTATTAACAAACAGACTCTTCTCACAAAGTATATCCTGATTATTGTTTCAATTCTTCCACTGAAATCAGACCCTTCCAACCACCCTTCATATCAATATCCAATTGATTTCTGTCTCTCATTAGAAAAAATGAGCTTCTAAGAGGCAATGACAAAGTTTAACATAAAATTGGATAAGCTAAAAGAGAAAAAAAGCACATTGAAGGTTTTAAGTGATAAAGTCCAAAGACTGTTGTATCATAAGTAGCAAATATCTTAAAGGACATTTATGCAGCATTGCATATCCTGTTTAGTTACCTCAGTACCTCTTGTTTTCTCCATTCTCAATGTAAATCACTAGTGATATTAGCATTTACTAATTTCAGTGCCATTTGGATTATTTCAGATGTTCCAGTGTGTCTTCTAACTGCACAATATTTGTAAAGAAATAATAGTGTTTTTCATTCACAGACAAGTGTCTGTGGTTTTTTATTCACTCCACACTTTCATTCTTTCCCCAGGGAACTTACTTGTGTGTTGGAGCTTGCATTTATTGATACAGTACGAGACAAAGTACTTTCACTGCATTACCTTATCCTTTAACCTAAGAAATAGAGCCCTGCTAATCAAAGCTGCATTCTGTCTGTTGGGTAAAACACACATTTAAAGGATATACATTTATTATGCTTTATACAAAACAGTTAAGGATTTCCCTCTCACCCTCATGTTCTCTGAACAGGGTTAGTAGGTAAATCTACTTTTCTAGATGCAGGTGTCTACTCATGATTTACTGAGTGGTAGCAAGGGCAGCAGTGGTATAGGAGCACAAAGCCCAGGATCTGACCTGAAAACTTAATGTATTAATTAGCTGACCCATTTGGAACTAAACAACTATTAATTTTCTCAAAGTGAGAGCTAAATATATTGTATTGTTGTGGGCATTATGTTGATCTGTAGATGCATGTAGATGTAGATGCATATGTAGATGTAGAGTAGAAGAAAGCAATCTAGCACAGAGACACGCAGAAGGGTAAAATCCACTGATTTTCTATGGTTTGAGAAATCATGACACTCCAATCATTTTGGTGTGGTTTCAACCAGCATGAAATTTTGTCCCTTTCATTTTCCTACTACAATTAGAATATCATCCTCTGTTGGAGCTTGTTTACATCAACCTCAGTTGTTTTCATATGAAAACAATGTCAACCACTTTTTCTTTCTGGTTTCATGCATAGTGCTTAGTATTATTATGTATTCACGAGAGAAGTCTGTGCCAATGTTTTAATATTGGTTGTCTGTGGGTCCAGCCTCCAGTACCATGGGACTTTGAACGGAACGCAATGGAGTCAGAATAAGGTAGACATTCCTATGTTGTGTTATCAGAAAATAAACACGTATTTGCTGGCTTCTCTCTTTACTCTTTGTTCTGTCATATTATTTTTCTGTAGTTTATCTATTATCTTCTCTGTGTCATTTTTTGTTGTACAGGTTATATATCTCAACAAAGGTTTTACATAAATATAAGAATTACAATGTGGTTAAATTATGGTTATCAAATGAATAATACAATGACTACAAATAAAAGTGTAAAAATTGCATCCTTTCCATATCTCTCACATGATTAACCACTGCACATTCTACAGGTGATAAATAAATTATCCTAAGAACCCACATCTCTTCATTATCAAGCAAGATTTTATAGGTTAACTGTGTGGGCATGAAGGTGTTCTTGTCAGGTATTTTAATAGCAGGCTATATCTGGCAGTTACAAAGAAATGGCCAATCACTTTGTTACATACTTTGAAAGGCAATTCTACAATGAGTTTAATAGGAATCAAAAAAGTGAAACATTTTCAAGGAAAAGGAATTAGTCAGCACTTCTTTAAATCTTTAGGGTACATACCAACTCATTAATAGATTTTTGAATATCAGGATTGAATAAGGGCAGAAATGGGTATATGGAATTAATTACCACTGTTGTTCATCAGCCAAACATGCAATGAAAGCTAGCAAAAATTGGGCTTTATTGAAGTTTTAGCTTAGCCTAAATGTGTCAGAAAGCACAGAGACATGTCCGTGTAAACTTTAGATTGTTTTCTGGGGTAAATAAACTTAAAAGTATTAGCAAAGCACCTGGTCTAACCTGAAGTTATTTTGAACCTTTTTTAAGTCAATGGTATGTGACTACCTCTTTTCAGCATTAACAGAATCGGAGCCAGTTTGGCTCCTGGAATCAGGTGCTTTCTGTTAATCATTACCCTGAACAACTAGGGAACAAATCCTGGTATTTATTTTTTTCATCAAAACTCTGTATAGGCAATCATTTTTATTAGCAAATTTGACAACACAGTTTTGAGATGGTTCATCTTCTTGACAATCCACTGCTGGTAAAAATGCCCAGTTGTTTCCAAGAGATAAACATACTCTATTACAGGCAGTAGATATCTCCCCATATGTACTCACACCATGCTACACAACAGAGAAAGAGAGTTGCAGCTGCCAAGTAAAGGCAAAGGAGAAGCAAAACACATTTTGGTGTCTGTAGTTCTGTGGATTTATACAAGCTAGATTGACCCACAAGAGTGTTATCACTCTGGTTAGCTGACACCTCAGATTACAGTTGCAACTCACTGCTTCTCTGTCATGGCCGATGTCAGTTAAGCCAATAGAAAATATGTCTTAGCCAGTTAACAGCCTCACTGGTTGATCATGACCCTATTGTAGCAAAGAAACTGTCTCAGGATGAACTTTTAAACAACAAATAAAAATTATTCTTTGTCAAGTAAGAAGAACAGTTATCCAGAAGTTGAACTACAAATACCAAAACACGGTTAGTGTGTTTAGAATCTTTTTGAGAATTATGTGTTGTGATGGGATATGTCTTCGTTTTCATATATGCCAAGTGGTGCTGTCTGTTTTCTGAGTTTTGCAGGCTGAATGACACATCATTAATTTGTTTTCTTTCTTTTCTTAAATTATCTGAAGCCTCCACAGATATTTCACAAGAATCTTTGGCAACAGGGTCCAATATTTGGATAAGTGTGGCACAGGGAATTTCCATTACCCCAACAAATACTGCTTGGATACCAGCCTCCAGCAGCCCAGAGCTCAAAAAGAATCCAAAAATGAGCAAACTCAGACTTTTTTTGGTTTCCGTTTGGGTTTATTGAGACAGGGATTCTCTGTATTGCCTTGGAGACTGTCGTGGAGCTCACTCTCTAGACCAGGCTCGCTTTGAAATCACAGAGATCTGCCTGCTTCTGCCTCCAGAATGAAGGAATTAAAAGCATGCGACTTTTTTATCCACAGGCATAAGGGAAAAGGTACTTTCATACTATGTCTTAATATATACCTTATGATTTTTGTTTCTTCGTCTTCTGGTGCAGTTGCTTATTGCTTTAATTATCTGTATCAGAAATGTGTTTTCTGTCTCTCTTGCTGTTTTCCTTCTAACTCTCTTAATATTTTCTTCCTTATTCTCTCATTCTTGATGTTTTCTTCTAATTCCACCTTTAAACTTCCCATTTTCTCTTTATTTTTACTCTACAGCTTGTATATATCAACAAAATCTTTCTGGTAATATAGAAATTAAACTGTGGTTACATATGGTTATTCACATTAATGATTACAATGAAAACACAAGTAAAAAATACAGAATGCTTTCCATATCTCTTACAGGATGAAATATTTTACATATCAAATTTGAAAGTCAAGTTGTCCCTTGAACCCACATATATTCATATCCAAGCAACTTGTGAAAAGATTAACACAGTGTCAACATCAATGTATTTTGCAATTACAAACAAAGGATTAACAGCTTTATTTCATATTTTTAAATGTAATCTTATGAAGAATCAAAAGGAATCACAAACCTAAACTGTTTCATGTGAAAACCAAACAGTCAGCTTTACTTTAACACTTTAGTGTGCATGCCCAATATATAAACATATATGTATGTATGTATGTATATATATATATGTATATATATATATATTCAGGAGATTTGTGGCACAGGGAATTAATTAGGGTCTTTGATCATCAACCAATCCTCACAAGGAAAAATTATTACCTAATAATAATTGACCTGCTTTGCTCTTTGATACCTAACATCAAAGATATTTTCAGAATATGTTAGTGTAACATGAGGTCATGCAAAGTCTTTGTTTCAGCTATGTTGCACACCAAAACCTATTCATTCATCTTTTGACATCAATTTGAAAGAATTTGTGCCAGCCTAGATCATTTTCTTCCTTTTTTATATCTTTCTTTCTTTCTTCCTTTCTTTCTTTTGGTTTTTTGAGACAGAGATTCTCTGTGACTTTAGAGGCTGTCCTGGAACTATCTATTGTAGAGCAGACTGGCCTCAAACTCACAGAGATCTGGCTGCCTCTGCCTCCTGGGTGCTGGGATTATAGGCATGTATCACCAGTTCGCAGCCTTAAATGATTTTTTAATCATTAATCTGAGCTGCAACCTATACAGCTCCTTAGATGATATACATAGACCCTAGATGTATGACATTTCCTAATGTGGAAATATTAAGCTACACAAAATAAAGATGTCATATGATATTTTATTGAGGGAGAAATGTCTTCCATGATAAGCTAAGAAAGCTGAGAACCAAAGGTCCGTACACTCTATATACCTCTGACCACACCCAAATGGGCATGACCAGCCCTATGCGTACATAGATCTCCAACTACAATATCCTTATATTTAATCTTAATAATCAGCTTCTAATTAAACTAATATTATTTTATCAATTAAAAGTACAGTTTAGTAAGAAAGAATCTTCATACTAATTCAGAGATAAAAATGCCCACTATAACTGGTTGTTTGAACAATTACAGGAACTTGGTATTGGACCAGTCCCATGGGTTGTTTTCCTCTGACAGAGAGTAAGATACCAAAATTTCTCTTTACATCTGTAAATCTATATCAGGAAATGTACTCATAGCTTTCAGTTTATGCAAAGGGTTTCCTCCAACTCACTTTCCTGTTGGTAAACATGCCTTGAGCTGCTTCCAGAAATTAGGACCTAATTATGCATTAATAATAATTTTCTAGTATCACATGGCAGCTGGGTAACAAAAGAAATCTTGTAAGAACCATCTTTAATACTAAAGAAGTACCCAGAATACATTATATAAATCTGCTTGGTCAATGTTGGATATAAGGGAGAATCTGTTCTGTCCAGGCTGTGTTGTGTGACAACAAAATTCCCCTGTGCAATATCACAGGGGATTTTTCTACCATTTTATTTTATTTTATTTTTAGAGAGAATAGTGGGTGTTGAATTTTCAAATATATGGAGCATTGTCTAGTATGAAGACATGAATCATGAAATAGAAATGAATATAAATTTCATTTTCTTTAGGATCAGCCCAGGGGTACTTAACCCTTCTGTACAGTTGCCTACAGCAGGTAAAAATGGAGTGAATGCTCACACAGGGGAACTATTCCCCCATTCCTGAGTGCTTTCTGCTTAGATGCATTAAGCCCTGGATGAAGGACTGGCTCCTCAGCACCTCCACATAAGGATCAGGCAACACTGAGGAGGAGTCAAGCAACAAAACAAGATACATTCCTTAGTGATATGGTAGAGGTGATTGTTTGTTTGCACTAATATGGGAAACCTTGCAGAGCCAAAAAGGATTTATTCCCAAACAATAGGATGCACGCATCTTAAGCCAGGTTGGGAAATGTTGTCACAGGAAAGAATGTCACAGGAGAATACAGGGAAGCAAAGCCTGAAATAAACTCACCAAAACAAAACTTTCAGTAAAGCATAGTAATACACACAGAGACACAGTAAAAACAACTTAGTGTCCTCTTAACATGGTTCCTGAACACTGGACCAGCAGCCATTTCTAACCTCTCTCCTATGTTTTAAAATAGAAGACACCTTAATCAGACTTACCTGCAAAGTTGACAAACCAGGAAACATTTCACCTTGTTTCCTTTGTGGGTGAATATGTCAGATTCCTTAGGCACAAATTGATCATCATACACTCTGGGGAAAAGTTCCTCAGGTTGCACTCCCCTATGATCCCCTTGAGCACTTCATTCTTCCTTTCTCTGAGGAACTTGGAGAACCCTTGTGTCCTGAGGAATTGTTATGAGATGTTAGTGGAACCATCAGAATTATTGTGGGTGTTCACCAGAAAATACTGGTTGGACATGAGTTAAAAGCAAGAGAAAGTATCTATTAGCTGACTTGTGACTATAATGTCACAAAAAATCTTCAGGGTTAACATATTTTCAGTTAGCCAGAAGCAGAACTATTGAAGCCAAAAGCAATTAAGTACATTTAGAAATACTCCTAGAACTATGGACTAAAATGGATTCAGTCTTTGTCTTTATTTAGGCAGTTTGATAACCTGCTAAGTTTGACAGGCTAAATGGCACTTCCATCAGGGACACATTTACACTAAGGTCTGAGTGACTACTAAGTTCTTGGATCCTGTTATACTAGCAGAAATGTGAAAATTAGTAAGAAAGAAGCTTCTAGTCCAATACCAGTTTGATATCTCCATGTTGTATGGCTTAGCTACATATTTTCTTTAGCAATACCATCTTTCCAAAAAGTTCTAGAAGAAGGAAGGAACAATTTTCAAAATTCAATAATTTAAATTAAATATTTTTAAATATCTTAAAGTTTAAACTCATGTGTCTCAGTCATTATTCTTTGATTTTTACAAACAAATCCTGAATTTCACTCACCCACCATATCTTCACGTCATCTACCTTAATTTGAAGAGAACACCTTGCAAAAGCTCTCCTCATCCTGTGGCTCATAACAAATTTTACAGCCCTATCCCTTAGCTTCCTGCATCTTTAAGTGTACTAATTTTATTTTAAATATAGAAATTGGAGTCTGCCTTATTCCTATCATTTTCACAGTTAGGACATCTTGTAATGATCTTTATCTTCCACATAAAGAAGTATCCTTAAACATGGAGAGAGCTTTGTTTATCTGTGGATATAAGGTTAATTTTAGATTAAAGTCAGAGATTGTACTAGTTTAGAAAACTGACAGCAGTAGGTTCTCCTAAAGAATCCATGCTTTCAGTGCTAGTAGTTGGCTAAAGGTACAGGTACACTGACAGACATGGCTTCTTTCCTGCCCCAACATGACTTTAGTCCAATTAGATAACTGTGCATTATTCAAGGCTATAAGTGTCATGATTCTACCATTCAGAATATCTTGTACTGCTTTCAAGTGCTGTGATTAATTGCCCATACTAATGAATAGGCTTTACTCCATTGTGAATATGTATGACTCCTATAATTTTGGGAGCCAGTTCTAAGTAAGAAGACTTCCAGGTAAATCTAATTTGACCTTTTCATATAATTTCTGAAGTGTGTTTTCTTCAGCAATAGCATGTTACCTCTTATTCAAAAAGGCATAATTCACATGGGCAGCAGCCTATATCTTAAGGGAAAGGTCACCTGACTGTAGGATTTGTTTTGTTTCTTTTTATTTTTAATGGCATTCAAGTGAAACCCAATTCTCTTAATTTAAGAGTTTGATACTAAAATGAAGAATGTCTTAGAAACTAAAAATGATTCAGATGCAAGTGAGATTACCTTAGTTTAGGCTCCCAGAAAATTTGTGAGTGCACACCTGTAATCCAGGATCCTGTGGAGGAGAGGAGTCTGATAAAAAAGAAATCCTTGAAGTATTCAATGGTAATATCCAGGCATATGCTATCGAAATAATACAGACATTGTTAGAAAGAAAATTACAAACAGATATGCCAGTGAAAGCTATCCAGTCTTGCACTTATAACAATTAAAATTCAAACATTTTCTCACACACACAATTCAGAAGTTATATAAATTCAGATAGAGACAATATTATCAAAGAATAACAAGTATTTATATAGCTGAGCTAAATTAACTCAGGGATATTCTTTGATTAAAATATTACTTTGTGAATGTGAGTGCTCTAACCAAGTGATATTTAAATGAGAGCAGTGACCAGGAAACATGAAATTTTATATAGGTGTGTCTTTCATATTTATAATAAAAATTTTTATTTATGTATTATGTACAATTGAAAGTAAAGCAAGCTGTAATGAAACTGTTAATAATGAGGATACTAGATGCAGGGTTTTATTTCATTCTAACCAGGTAAAATAATTTGTTGAATTTCAGTCATTTAAGAGGAAAGTTTAAATGTGGAGCATACATAAAAACTAATCTTTAAACTAGAAAAATCATTGGATTGAGCTGCAGCTCTGTGCTATCTGTAATTTTTATCTAGTGTGATTTTATTTCCCTTATCCAGGTATAATTTTAAAAACTACCAGTTTATTCTACCTCTGGAATTTGCCATTGAAGAGATCAACAGGAATTCACTTTTTAACAAACATATCTCTGGAATTGGACTTTCATAATGTCCCACAGGGGGAGAAAACCATTCTTTTGCAGCCCCTCCTTTGGCTACCAGGCCTCAGTTTTCCATACCCAAATTATCACTGTGTGAATGAGATAAAGTCTATTGCAGCACTAACTGGCCATCATGGGTAAAATCTGTCCATATTGGGACACTGCTTCAACTCTGCAAAATCCCACAGGTGAGGCATTGTATTTCAATTATACCATGAACTCTTTACTGACATTGCAGAGATGTGCTAAGGTAAAAGAGAGACACATGGTTTTCTTAGCTATATGTGAAAAGTGTCTAGACAATTGGAGAAGGATGCATACATACTTCAGTCACTTGGCAAAGAAAAAAGGAAAGAATAGAGGAGACAAGGAGGGTGGATCAAAAATAGGAAAGTTCAGTAATTCACTGGAAATTCTGCCACTGAGAATTAACTTTAAACTGGGAATGAACCAGTTAACTTGCTGAGCATTTACATCTGTTCCTTTAAAGTGGACAGTGTGTTTGATGTCATTGTTTGACTCTTGTTACAAATTGCTTTCTCTTCAGGTTACCATTGGTCCTTTTGATCCTATCTTGAGTGATCGAAGTTAGTTTAATTCTCTCTATCAGATGGCCTCCAAAGGCACATCTCTCTCTCTTGCTATTGTCTATTTGATAGTCCATATTGGCTGGAACTGGGTTGGGCTGCTTCTTCCAGATGATCACAGAGGGACTGAGTTACTGTCCAATTTAAGAAAAAATATGGAAAAAATACAGTCTGTATAGCTTTTGTTGAAATGTTCTCAAGCACATGGAATTCATTTTCCTTCACATTCTGGGCAAATTTGGGGAAGATCCAGGAATCATTGGCCAATATCATAATCATTTATGGTGACAGTATTTCACTACATGGCTTAATGCTGAATCTAGTAAAACAGTTTTTGACATAGAAAGTCTGGGTGATGAACTCTCAGTGGGATGCTACCAACCATGCTGATTATGTCTTAGTAGATTCATTCCATGGAAGTTTCATCTTTTCATATCAACATGAGGAGATGGCTGAATTTCCAAATTTTTTCAAAACAGTTAATCCTTTCAAATACCCAGAAGACATTTACCTTCCTAACTTATGGTTTTTGTTCTAGCAATGCCCATTTTCAGAGCTTGATTGTCAAATTTTGGAGAGATGCCAACCAAATGCTTCCTTGGAATTCCTGCCTAGACCCATTTTTGACAAGGAAATGAGTGAAGAGAGTTATGATATTTACAAAGCTGAGATGAGCCTTCAGCAAGTACAGATGCAACCATTTCGAAATGAGAAGGAAATGGTGTTCTTCCCTGGCAGGTAATATCCCTTAGAGTATCAGCAATGTGAAATTTTGGGTTTATTTGATTAGGCTCCATATTAGGGATTGCACATTTGATCATTATATAAGAAATGAAAGGAGAATCTTTATTTGTTATCTTATCTTACAAGGCAGTGCAGCTCTTTGTGTGCTTGTTGCTGAGGAATGGGTTGCTAGTGGCAATGAGGAAATAAAGTATAAATATTGTGTAAGTAATAGCCACAAAACCTTCTAATGCTAAGAGATTCCATTAGAAAACTAAGTATTCTTTCACTAACTGACACAGTGACATTTGAATAATACAAGGTAGTAGTACATAAATGATTTCTTAACTAACATGAAGTAATCAGTAAACACACTTTACTTATTCAACATTGGGATCCACGATGTAGGTAAGTAAATTTGTACAGCTTTTTAAAAAGAAGTTTAGGTTTACTTCATCAATGCTCATTTCTTCATTTTCTAAGTTAGTTTAGAAGATATTCTTGAACAGGCTGTCCCTTCAGAGATAATAGGGCATCAGACTAATGCAGGTAATCATTTCTCAGCCCCAGTAATACCTACATTAGTGTGTTGTCCTAAACCAGAGATTATAAACAATGAAAGTCATTCCATTTCTTGTCAACCTCTCAGACATACTTTGTCATATGGTCTTTCATCCCTTTCAGCTTCACCCTTTATTGAGGAATAATCATGTCAGAGACAACAGGCATTTATATTGGGAACAGGAGTTTGATGACAAGTATGACATTCTCAAGTTTTGGCATTTTCCAAATGGTCTTGGATTAAAAGTGAAACCGGGAACATTTACACCCAATGCTTCCAATTGTCAACAGTTATCTTTATCTGAACATTTGATACAGAGGCCAAATATATATCTAGAGGTAAGTTGTGATTTATTTTGAAGCATTAAACTTGCCAGAATAACACAAATATATTCACCAGTAAATTAAAACCTGTTTTCTAACTCAAGAGCAATGACTATAAAACTTCCAATATAAAAGAATGAAAATTAACCAGCAGTATACAATGTTTATTGTTCTCTGATTCTTAAAGATGAATTTTTTATTATTTTAATTATAATAGCTTGTTTTACATGTCAAGTTCCCTTTCCCTACCCTCCTCCTGCATCGCCCCAGCTTCCCACCCTGTTGCCAATTCCTTCCATATAGGTGATATCTAGAGTCTGTCCTTTCACTCAGGGTAGGGTCCAGGCACACCCCTAAGAGTCCCGGCTGAGAGAACATCCCTCTTTGTGCTAGGGACACACGATGTTTGTTTGTATTCCAGGGATAAACACTGATCCACTGCTCATGGCACCATAGGTTGCCCCGGCCACCTCACTGACACGCATATTTGGGGGTGCGGATCAGTCCCATGCTTGCTTCCCAGCTGTCGGTCTGGGGTCCAACAGTTCTCCCCTGTTGAGATCAGCTGTCTCTGCTGGATTTGCCTGCCCATTTTTTGCCAATTTTCTCATCGCCCAACTCTGTCACTGGGTTCCTTGGCTTCAGTTCAGTGTTTTACTGTGGATTTAAATGTCTGATAATATCAGAAACTCATGGGTTCATTTTTGTTCACTTGCCACAAATTAGGTGTACCTGAGAAGTGGGTTGCTCAACCTCTATAATGTCTCATAAAGTATTCTGTTAGATACAGTCTCTTAATTTATGATTTATACCTCAAAACTATATAATAGTATTAGTTACATACTATGATCAAACACCATCATGAAAAGTGACTTTGGAAATTGAGGTATGAGAGTACTTTATGGTCAGGAGGCCTGCAGGGGTGTTACATCCAAGGAGTGATGCATAGGATTCTGAAATGCGATGTGTCAGTCAACACTCTACAAGTAGAGAGAGAACATTGGGGTTGGGATGAGTCTCATAAATTTTCAGAGTTCCACACCACTGAAATAATTCTGCCAATAAGTCTGCAAATTTTAAAGTTTTAATAATTCTCCAGAGCCTGCAGATCGCCTGGGAACTGCACAGAGCTCCCAATCCCGGCGGGAGCATCAGGTAAACAGGCCAGCTTCCCGGCCTGTGTTCCAGAGCCTGCAGATCGCCTGGGAACTGCACAGAGCTCCCAATCCCGGCGGGAGCCAAGCACCCCAGACTCCAGATCTTCTCTCCCACCAACGAGTCCAGGAAACTAGAGAAGGCTGGGAGCACAGGGAAGTAGCTGTCCCTCTGGCATCATCAGGTAAACAGGCCAGCTTCCCGGCCTGTGTTCCAGAGCCTGCAGATCGCCTGGGAACTGCACAGAGCTCCCAATCCCGGCGGGAGCATCAGGTAAACAGGCCAGCTTCCCGGCCTGTGTTCCAGAGCCTGCAGATCGCCTGAGAACTGCACAGAGCTCCCAATCCCGGCGGGAGCATCAGGTAAACAGACCAGCTTCCTGGCCTGTGTTCCAGAGCCTGCAGATCGCCTGGGAACTGCACAGAGCTCCCAATCCCGGCGGGAGCCAAGCACCCCAGACTCCAGATCTTCTCTCCCACCAACGAGTCCAGGAAACTAGAGAAGGCTGGGAGCACAGGGAAGTAGCTGTCCCTCTGGCATCATCAGGTAAACAGGCCAGCTTCCCGGCCTGTGTTCCAGACCCTGCAGATCGCCTGGGAACTGCACAGAGCTCCCAATCCCGGCGGGAGCATCAGGTAAACAGGCCAGCTTCCCGGCCTGTGTTCCAGAGCCTGCAGATCGCCTGGGAACTGCACAGAGCTCCCAATCCCGGCGGGAGCCAAGCACCCCAGACTCCAGATCTTCTCTCCCACCAACGAGTCCAGGAAACTAGAGAAGGCTGGGAGCACAGGGAAGTAGCTGTCCCTCTGGCATCATCAGGTAAACAGGCCAGCTTCCCGGCCTGTGTTCCAGAGCCTGCAGATCGCCTGGGAACTGCACAGAGCTCCCAATCCCGGCGGGAGCATCAGGTAAACAGGCCAGCTTCCCGGCCTGTGTTCCAGAGCCTGCAGATCGCCTGGGAACTGCACAGAGCTCCCAATCCCGGCGGGAGCATCAGGTAAACAGACCAGCTTCCTGGCCTGTGTTCCAGAGCCTGCAGATCGCCTGGGAACTGCACAGAGCTCCCAATCCCGGCGGGAGCCAAGCACCCCAGACTCCAGATCTTCTCTCCCACCAACGAGTCCAGGAAACTAGAGAAGGCTGGGAGCACAGGGAAGTAGCTGTCCCTCTGGCATCATCAGGTAAACAGGCCAGCTTCCCGGCCTGTGTTCCAGAGCCTGCAGATCGCCTGGGAACTGCACAGAGCTCCCAATCCCGGCGGGAGCATCAGGTAAACAGGCCAGCTTCCCGGCCTGTGTTCCAGAGCCTGCAGATCGCCTGGGAACTGCACAGAGCTCCCAATCCCGGCGGGAGCCAAGCACCCCAGACTCCAGATCTTCTCTCCCACCAACGAGTCCAGGAAACTAGAGAAGGCTGGGAGCACAGGGAAGTAGCTGTCCCTCTGGCATCATCAGGTAAACAGGCCAGCTTCCCGGCCTGTGTTCCAGAGCCTGCAGATCGCCTGGGAACTGCACAGAGCTCCCAATCCCGGCGGGAGCATCAGGTAAACAGGCCAGCTTCCCGGCCTGTGTTCCAGAGCCTGCAGATCGCCTGGGAACTGCACAGAGCTCCCAATCCCGGCGGGAGCATCAGGTAAACAGGCCAGCTTCCCGGCCTGTGTTCCAGAGCCTGCAGATCGCATGGGAACTGCACAGAGCTCCCAATCCCTGCGGGAGCCAAGCACCCCAGACTCCAGATCTTCTCTCCCACCAAAGAGACCAGGAAACTACAGGAGCCAGGGAGACCAGGGGAGTAGCTGTTCCGGATCAGGTACAACAGGACCCAGCATAGGGTCCAGGGGACCAGGTAGGATGCTAAGCGCCCCAGATTCCTGTTCTTCTTATCTACCCACGGACCAGCATTTGGACAAGGCATAGAAGAACCACCAGATTACTGGACTTACTAGCACCCAACAAAAGGGAACTCTGGTCCCCAGACCAGGAAGGGGCTCTTCCTGCACCCACTAGAAGAAGAGATGGGAAAGAGACAATACAAAAACACAGTCAGCAACCTAAAAACAAATATTACACCGCCAGATTCTAGAGACTCCACACCAGCAAGACCCCAATATTCCAACGCGAAGGAAGCAGAAGAGAACGACCTTAAAAGCATTAGAGAATCCCTCTCTACCAACAGCCAAAAGAACAAAGGGGTGAAATTCCACCCATAATTCCACCAACAACAACCATCGCAAATCGAAGAAGGATGAGCAATCAATGGTCATTAATATCCCTCAATATTAACGGCCTTAACTCACCCATAAAAAGACACAGACTAGCAGAATGGATTCGAAGACAGAACCCTTCCTTCTGCTGCATACAAGAAACACACCTCACCCTCAAAGACAGACATTACTTGAGAGTTAAAGGTTGGGAAAAAATTTTTCAATCAAAAGGACCCAAGAAACAAGCAGGGGTAGCAATCCTAATATCTAACAACCTAGACATTAAAATAAAGTCAATCAAAAGAGATGAAGGAGGTCATTACATACTCATCACAGGTGAAACCCACCAAGATGAAGTGTCTATCCTGAACATCTATGCCCCCAATACAAAGGCATCCACATTCGTTAAAGAAACATTATTAGAACTTAAATCTCATCTAAAGCCCCACACAGTTATAGTGGGAGATTTCAACACACCACTCTCACCACTAGACAAGAATACCAGACAGAAACTCAACAAAGAAGCAAAGGGTCTAATAGAAGTAATGACCCAACAGGGATTAACAGATATCTATAGAACATTTCATCCACATAAAAAAGAATATACCTTCTTCTCACCACCACATGGAACCTTCTCAAAAATCGACCACATACTTGGCAACATATCAAACCTCAGCAGCTACAAAAAATTGGAATAACTCCATGCATCTTATCAGACCACCATGCCTTAAAATTAGAATTCAACAACAACACAAATTGCAGAAAACCTAAAAACTCATGGAAACTTAATAATGCTCAACTGCACCATCCCTGGGTCAAAGAGGAAATAAAAAAAGAAATTAAAGACTTCCTCGAATTCAATGAGAATGAAGACACAACATACCCAAACCTATGGGACACTTTGAAAGCAGTGCTACGGGGAAGTTCATAGCACTAAGTGCTCACATGAAGAAACAGGAAAACAGTTATACCAGAGAATTAACATCACAGCTAAAAGCTCTAGAACACAAAGAAGCAAACTCCCCCAGGAGGAGTAGACGCCAGGAAATAATCAAATTGAGGGCTGAAATCAACAAAGTAGAAACCAGGAAAACAATACAAAGAATCAATGCAACGAAGAGTTGGTTCTTTGAGAAAATCAACAAGATAGACAAACCTTTGTCCAAACTTACCAAACAGCAGAGAGTGAACACGCAAATTAACAAAATCAGAAATGAAAAGGGGGACATAACAACAGACTCTGAGGAAATCCAGAGAATCATTAGGTCATACTTTGAAAACCTGTACTCCACAAAATTCGAAAATTTAAAGGAAATGGATGACTTCCTGGATAGCTATCACTTGCCAAAACTAAATCAAGAACAGATAAGCAATTTAAATAGACCTATAACCCCTATGGAAATAGAAGCAGTCATCAAAAGTCTCCCAACCAAAAAAAGTCCAGGTCCAGATGGCCTCAGTGCAGAATTCTACCAGAAATTCAAAGAACAGATTATACCAATTCTTCTCAAAGTGTTCCACACAATAGAAGCAGAAGGGTCTTTGCC